AACGAATTTCTCTCATTCACGATGCTTTCCCAGCGAATATTCAGGTCTCATCTTTACAATTACACGTGAGGAAATTGCCAGATACGAACCGAGATCGAAATAAAATACTGTTTTTTAAATCTACGTCACTTGATTTAATAAAAAAAAAACAAGTTAATTACAATGAGTTTTAAGATTTTTTTAATAAGAATAAAATTTAAATAAATGCTACTTATTTATTATAAATAAAGAAAAGTTTATTTTTATTTTGTATTATTAGAATCGTTTTTCTTTGGGTTGCCTACAACAAAAACAAAAACTTTTATTTTATTTCAAAAATGAGAAAAAGATTTTACACTGTTTTTAAAAAAAGTTATAGTTTAATTAAATCGACGGGTGGAGAAAGGAAACATTTTTTTCACCTTCGACCTTTTCTGACTGTTAAATTACATATTTAACATAAATTAACGATTTTTTGTCTTAAATTTTATATAAATTTATTGATTAAGGAAGGATTGACTTTAATTTTTGTGTTTAAAGAGAGGGAGAATGAAACACTAAACGAGAATAAAAATATTTATTTGCAAATGGAAATTACTGGTACATTTTTCATGTGTTGTACAACATTATATTTTGAATCGTATATTTCTTTCCAAAAAGAGGATGAGTTACGAAAAATTTTGAAATACAGGTTTTTCATAAGGTTATTGATTTTATTTATCCACACGAGCGAACATTGTTTTGTTATTTTTTATTGGCAATTATAAGTTGTTTGACCATAATCCATGCTGTTGTAAAGAAAAATAATGTATTTGGCAAACACAAAACACAAGATAACTAACGTTCAAATAATGTTCTAAGAACGCTAAATTTTATCGGGCACGTGTGTTGGTTGCATTGCGGATGTCTTATGAATAGGGAATATTCGAAACTAAGAGGAGTGACACATTCTGGGTCTCGTTTTTTGAAAAAATAATATTGGTTAAAACCACACTCCGCTATCGTCTTTTGTTTTCGAATTACAGCCAAAAGTTGACATTTTAGAGAAATCTAAAAAAAAAAACATATTTTCGTTGTTATAGAAGATACGGATTTGAATTAAAGACAGTGTACAGGTATTTTTTAGGAGGAATTTAATAATGTAGTTAATAATTTTTTAAAGTTGTTTGTTTAGTCGTAATAACGTATAGATGGCTATAGCAGTTTGGAAAGCTTTTTGTTTGATCTAGAAAATATATGTTTGTAACAGAATATTTTTAATAATTAAACTTAAACAATATTATCCATTCACGAAGCTGTTGCCGCTAAGCCATAAACCGTAACCCTTATAAATCTTCATAATCACCCTCAAACCGAACACTCGTGCCTGTTTTTTTTTGCTAGGGTTTTCGGTACCTACTCAATATGTCTATTTTTGTTTTTCCATGTCACTGTATGTTGTCGGAGTAAGAGGAAGATAGTGACGTAAAACTTTCAATTGAGAAGCAGAATTCCGGATCAGTGGTAACAAAAATGTAACGACTCAAATTTTAAAATTTATTTAAAAATTTTTAACAAACAAAAAAAAATAATAAAAATACGATACATGTACCTAATATCCTACGACTAATAATAAATATGTATGAGAATATTCTTTTTCGGGCGAAATGTTTTGGGTGCACTAGTACCTGTCACCCTCGGCTTCGTTATATTGCTTAGCTTCGTGAATGGATAATATTTTGTTTGATAGTAGTTGGCAATAGAAAAACTATTTCATTTAAAATGTGTAGATAATAATCAACAAGAGTTTTGTGAACTGTGAAATACATGAAAAAATAGATGAAATTATAAAAATTTAAAAAATACGATACGTTAGAAGTATCGAACAAATATGCAAGCACCTCAGAACAAAATTATTACGTATTTAAAAAAAAATTAGTAAAAGAAAGAACAAATGTGTCAACAATCAACACAATTGTTTAAAAACAAAGAAAAGTTACTAATAAGTTGATTTAGCATTTATTTTGCATTTTTTTTATTACTTAGTGCTTAGAAAACTTTTTCATTGTGACACTTGTTAAATAATATAGTTTCAAATCTGTATCTTCTATAATGACAAAGATATGATTTTTTTTTTAATTTCGCTAAAACGTCTTATGTCGAAATAATAAACTATAACACAATTCGGTTTTTACTAATATTATTTTCTCAAAAAATGAGCCTCAGAATGTATCACTCGTTTTTGGCTAAACCTCTTCTTATTTGGACATTCAAAATGCAGCACCCTGTAAAAAATCACTGATGTTGTTAGGAAATGTAACAACACCCAGGTGTTCGTCAAGAACTCTCTAACCCATTGCATCGACACTTGCAAGGAGAAAACGATGTGCGGTGAGGTGGTCGTACCTGAGGAGCATTTGGATGCGTGTAGAACATGTAACGCAACAGGACAAGACTGTGGTATAGCAAAAGGCTCAAAAGCCGGTGAAGGTATTGAGAATTTCGATTTCGTCTTTTATGTAAGCGCTATGCAGACTGAACGTTGTAATAAGTCATTAACCGTTGCATATGCCGCCCACTGCCAACAAGAGGCAGCTTTAGACAGGTGAGTAACAACTTCAAGTCACGATTCGATCGCCAAGTGTGTTTTTATAGACCAATCGCTGGGCATGCGAATCTATGCCCGAATAGTATAAGTACCAAACGCCAAGAAGTCGAAATATTGCTTTCGACGGTAAAACATGAGATTTTGCACGCTTTGGGATTTTCGGTGAGTCTGTATGCGTTCTATCGGGACTCGAAGGGTGAACCATTGACTGAACGAAGGTTGGATACTGGGAAACCACCACTGAATGAAACGTAAGTCGGTGGGTTGAGTCGGTAAGGGACTATGTAGGTTTTTGCAGTTTGCAAACGTACCAATGGAGTGACAAGGTGATTAAAAGTTTCGTGAGAAAAAACTGGGTTGTTAGATCGGGTGTGATGCGAAGAGAGGTGAATATGATTGTCACGAGAAACGTAGTGAGGGAAGTTCGTGATTATTTTAAATGTGAAGAGTTGGAAGGGGCGGAATTGGAAGATCAAGGTGAGGAAGGAACGGCGTTGACTCACTGGGAAAAGCGTGTGTTTGAAGTATGTGGTGGGAGATATCGGTACTGTCTTATTGTGTTTTTGTAGAACGAGGCAATGACAGGTACGCATACCCAAAATCCGATTATTTCGAGAATTACTCTAGCTTTGATGGAAGACACCGGGTGGTACCTCGCGAACTATTCAATGGCCGAGCCGATGTCGTGGGGTAAAGGTCTCGGTTGCGATTTTGTTATGAAAAGCTGTAAAGAGTGGATAACAATAAAGTCTTCAAGGTATTTCATGTGGTTAATAGTATGTTTTTGCTGTGAGTTGTAATTTCATGCCTAGAGGAGCCTCGATCCACCCATTCTGTAATAAAGTCAAACGTGATCCTTTGCAAACGGAATGCACAGATGATCGTACATCGGTTGCCCTTTGCAATCTCGTCGCTCATGAAACTAAACTTCCGCAATTATATCAGGTAGCGGAAACTTGAGTACATCCTCGATCTAAACGAATCATTACAGAATTTTGATTACATTAAATACGTCGAACCAGGAACCGAAGAATATTACGGCGGATCAGTCGCTCTGGCTGATTATTGTCCATACATCCAGGAGTTCACCTGGCGCTCAAAGAACGTCATTGTCCGTGGATCGCATTGCCAATACACTGAGAATAATCCAAGTTTGTTTCTGTTTGAATTCACTTTGATATTTTCTTACCATGATTATTTTTAGAACCAGATAAGAATTTTGCTTTAGAGAAATACGGGGAAAATTCGCGCTGTTTTGAACATACTAATCATATGTGGGAGGAGAGATCATGCGGCCAAATGAGACAATGGCAACATTGGGGCTCGGGTTGCTACGGATACCGCTGCCAGCACGGACGCCTACATATTTTGGTTTGTTTATTTAACAAATACTTGGAGAAAATTTAGGGAAATTTTACAGGTGGATAATTACTCCTACGAGTGCTTCCACCCGAATCAAGAGATCTCGATACGAATCATCAATAACGGATGGCTTCACAAGGGTGCCATAGTTTGTCCACCATGTAGAGAACTTTGTGCTGTAAGTCATTTTTTCTTATTTACCAATATTTTTTATTATTTTATTTAGCGCGAGTTTGCCGTTCGGAATGAAAGTTGCAAAGGAAATGATGAAGCTCCACCAGCAACGGCGTATCCAAGAGACGAACTTAAGTGTTCCTCAACAATTCCAAGACTAAGCAATTCCCTATTACCCCTAATTCTATTTTTCTTCACATGTGCCAGAGAACATCTAGTCTAATTGTACTTGGAACGTTTTCAAACTTATTTTTCTATGTCCAAATTTGGTATACATTCCAAAATTAAATAAATATGGCTGTGTAAAATTATTTTAATTTAAAACTTTTTTATTAGAGGTACCTACCGTAATAAGTATTTTTATCTTAATATCCTAGTGTATATAGTTTTTATCAACGAACATTATTTTATCAAGTATTATATTTATTATAAATGTAATTCTCCAAAAAATTAATAAAAACATTCTATAAGCTAAGTGTTTTTATCTTCACCGAATTTCAACTGTAGTCAAGGTTTCCGATCCTAGAGCATTATTTTCTTCACGCAAATAATCACCGAGTGGTGAAAAAGATTGATTTCAAGGATAAATCATTCTCTTGAGTATTGCTATATTTTTATTAATCGTGTCACACCACAATATGAAAAAAATTACAACTATTCCATTCCACAATTGAGTTACTATTTTCAAATTCAAGGAATTTGACAAGACTAACTACTGTATTGTGACTTACCATGTAATACAAATAAATTATAAATATTTGCTCAACAATATGACGTGAATATTGAGAACCGCCTATGTCAGCATGTTTTTTGTTTGTTTACAAGGAATAATTCGGTTGCAGGTCATTGAAACAATTACGTTTTATGAAAAATTTTATTTTTAATAACTTGACAGTTCATAATATATGGAACAATGAGATTGTAAAGAAATATATTTATATTTATGTACATATAAAGTTAACATTGTAATAAAAACAGCTTGATAGAGAATCATTGTATCAATTAAAATGAAAATTTTTACAAAAATCTATTGTTGAATTTTGGCTCGCGTAGCTAAGGTAAGTTGTAGTTTACTAAAAACTTGATTTTTTTAATATAAACTACGGTTGTTGCAAGAGTAAAATATCAAGGTAAGCGTATCTATTTTTGTGAATTTATTTAAAAATTTTGTTTCCTATGAACTATCAATGTAACATTTAGTCGTAAACGTAGTGCTCAATAGTATTATAATAGCAAGTCTGATTGAATTGACAAATATTTAAAATTGATTAATTCGGAAAGAAACATTTAGATTGTAAGTGCACAAATGTGCTGAAGTGAGCAAAATTGTAGTTGCCACGTGTTTCGAAACAAATAATTGACTAATAATTGAGCACTAACACATTTGGTGAAACAACAAAAACCGAATCGGTTTGAACTAAAGAGTGACAACTTAATCTATTGTGTCTAACATTTACTTAAACATCCCATTTACTACAAAATAAACTTCATAAAACTACATTAAATGTTAAAGGATGGCACATTATTTTAGTTTATTACACTAATTACGTCTAGAATTTGGCAAACCGCCACTTAACAATGTGAAACCGGTAACTCAATAGAAGACATCCTTAAATCACATAACATTATTGTAAAGTCTGATGTGTAATATCAATTTAGATATGTTTTAAAAGATATGACGGCGTTTAACAACAAAAAGCCAACAATATTACTTACTACATGTAGATATAATTTGCGCACACTATTATCACATTTGATACTATTTAGAACTAACAGATACAATCCCAAAAATTGTTTTTTGTTTAGTTCAAGGTGTAATCATAAAATGAACCATTTTTGGGATACTGAACATTTGTGAAACACAAATTTTGTGGGAGAATTGTTGGTAATCTACGCTACAACAATCATTGTTTTCTCAAGCATGAACAAAGTCAATTTTCTACCTCCTAAGGAAATCATTGATATGTAGGCCTTGTGATATAGAATAGTATCTATGAAGACACTTTATATAATTTGACAGATTTCCTACGCTTTCCCCTAATGATATACTATAACTGTTAACAGTCTTAGAGTTTCAAGGGTCGACTTCCTCAGGAGAAATTAGGTTATTTAATGACAGTGACTTATTTTTTATGATTGTTTTGCAATGTTAGTTACGTACGAAGGTAAGTAACTGTCGAAATAAAATTTAATTAATTCAATATCATTATTACCTCAATTATTTTATAAAATGATGATTGTAAGGGTTTTAAAGAGCAGATGGCTTCGATTGTCGCGTCTATAAGATTGCAGACTATTGTTAACAGTTAAGATTTTGACGATAAGGATAACTGTCCCAGAGCTGAAGTACTTAAACGTGAAGTTCGCGGCTCAATTTCCAATGATGTATTGTAAAGTTCTTCATCATCCATCAATAACGACGAATCTAACAAGTAATTAGCAACTTTAGGTATCAATTCTATTTTATATGGGGTTTGTTGAAAGTGACGAATTTCTCGAATAACATGAGCAATCTGAAACAATTCCTCCACCAAAAATCCTAAATTGTCCCCAAGTCTCACCATTCTCATCTTAGAAAAGTTTAAAAGACCATCTTGAGTAAAATTTGGTGTTCCTTCTTCGATAAAAGACAAATCAGTTAGATAAAGTCCCAAGTAGGGGATACATGGCGGATCACATCTATGGAGGGCATCCCGCAGTGACCTAAACCGACCATCTGATGACACTATATGTTGCAATTTTTCGATTGTTTGCCGAGTCTGCAACCCATAATATTAAAACTTGTCGAACAAAAGTGCAAAAGCACCGTTTTCGACACTTTATCCCAAGTTTTCTTCAAACGGAACACGGAACTGTTAGTAAACGCGGAACAGATCTGTAAAACACCATTAAAATTGTGCAAACAACGCGAAATGTCCGCCACAGCGGCCCATTTTTCTATGGCTGCAACTCTGGCACACAGAGAGGACCGTCGGAGGATTTCCGAAGCCACTAAACAAGAAACGTCGTTGAAACGTTTTGTCATTAAGAGAATATGCGGAGCTCGGCTAGTCTTATCATTCTTCATCCAAGCCTGTCCTAGAAATTCCCTACAAGGACAAAAAAACTAAAAGTTGACACTTGCCTTTGACTTACTCGCTCGAAATCGAGATAAAAATCTGGTGGTCAATGTAGGTCAACTGCTCTGCAATTTCAAGTGCTGAAAGAGTTTCAATACTTTCCTTGCTTGGGGTCTGAAACGCAACGTTGAAAAATTTCGAAACACTTCTCAAATAATTAATACCGAAGGTGCGGAAATTAGTTGGAAAATATCGACTTTAGAACTGTCGGTTTCTTCCTTGGTTAACAATCTCAACAATTGAGCTGCTGCTTTATGCTCAGCTGGGAGCAAATTCGGACTGTAGATAATATCATCCAAAAACTCGATCGTCAAGTTCTTCAATTTGTGGTCATTTTCAAAATCTTGCGCATGTTTGGAGATCCAGTGTCTGTAAGAAATCAATATTTTGGCACACTAATCGCCCCAACTTACCTCAAGACGTTCAAAACTCTCATAGTGCAAGCGGTCGAGATGACATTTTCCTTGTATCGGTTGCGTTCCATGGCGAACTCATCTTGTTCCATCATTCCTCCCCTTCCATCACGACCACTTGGGGACAAATCTCGGGGGTTACTTGATCCAGAAGTGGCAATGGCGAAAGCTGCAGCAGCGCTCGATGTGCTACTCCTGCAAAATTGTTCAGTAACAGATTTTTTAAGAATGTCTTGACAAGGTACAAAACATACTTTTTGCTTGGGAACTTATTATCACTTACCTCCGTTTAGACTGCCGGAATGAAGTTATGACAACTCCTGCCTTGCTGGGTTTTTGGGGGGAGTCGTGTTGGAAACTGGAGCGTGCAGTTGAAGTTGCTTCACCTTCTTGCATTGATCTTCGGGAGCCATAATAACTCTGGAAATTTGTATAAAGTGATGTAACTCAAATTGAATTAATACCTGGAGAACGGCACTCGTGGTCGTTGTTGAGATACTGGCCGATCGTGAAGAGCTGCACGATGCCCGATGCATGGTGTTGAAAAACTGTGTCATATCTTCTATCCGATTTAGTTATATTTGGCTGTTCGGTTTGTTACTCACCTTCAGTGTCTTCCGAGGTACCTCTTTCAACTTTTCGCTCGACGATTGAAGGCCTGTGGTGTGGTTCTTTAGTGGGTGATGGTTCTTTTTTGGGTGACGATGGCTTTTTAGGAGAAGTTCCTGGTTCTCCTTCGTTAGTATCAGACGGTGATGACCCGACTAGTGTTACTGAACTTAAGTTGCTGGGCGAGCAAGGTGCACTTAGTACAGTCACATCTAAGTCAAGATTGCTTTATTGGGTTGGTTAATGGAGTGTTTTCAGTACCTGTCAAAGTTTCGCTGCTGCTGGACGCTGCGACTTTGGGTATGGCAAGATGGGTTTTGTCTTCTTTTGGAGTTTCTGACTGTTCGACTCTGATGGAGATTGATTTTTGGCCTGGGGGTGAAATTGAATCTTTGTGTTGTGTTGTCGGGCTTTGTCGGATGATCCTTGGGTGGGTTTGTTCGTGATTCTCTTCTTCGTCTTAAAGTTGAGGAAGATTAGTTTGTTGGGAGGGATGGTTTGCGGACTTACATTTCTGCAAAGTTGCTTTCCAATGTCTGTGGCCTTGAGAGTCGTAGCTTTGAGATCTGTCTCGCTCACTCATTTCTGAGCCGTATCCTGAGACAGAGCTCGCACCGCTTGTTCTACGCGGAGAAAAACTACTACGTCTTCGATCATCGTATAATTGTAAAGTATTTTCGTCTTTGTTTGAAAATACTTCAAGGGAAATAACAGAGCCTTGTGGTTCGGGATCACTACTATAGAACACTTTCTTTAAAGCTTCCAGGACAGTTACGCCGTCAGTGAAAACGCGATATGTAAGGAGGAATGTATTTAAGAAGTCTATGGAGAGGAATCTTAAATCTGAAAAGAACTTTTTTTTTATCCATCACTTGTTGTGATGAATTGTAATGTACCTTCAATGATTGTGCAGAAAGTTGATCAGGGAATGGGTAAATCATGCATTACAAGAGAGGAACAAATGATAAAAAAATTCCCAGATTATATGGATTTTATAGTAGTCATTTAACGAATTAAGAACACAAGAAATTTTCCATTTTTCATTTACCAGTTAGTCTTTGAAGAAGGCGTTCTGGTGTTGCGTATCTTATTTGAGGAACTTTACAAGAGTTCATTGTTCTACTGAATCGGATATCTGCCTCGTCTTTAAACAACTTTGGATCATTCTTCAACGATTGCGGAAGAGTGATGGAACTGTTATCAGACATCGTCGGACGTATCATATCGTTAAATTGAACATTATCCAAGCACTGGCTGATATCGGAAATCCATGCAGCTTTCTCTTGCATCGAAGACGCCAACAGATGCACCGTGACCTAACCAAAGACAAACATCTCTCAAAAACCGGAACCACCGCGACTATATTTATTATCTTGTCGCGAAAACATAAACGTGCTCGCAATTTTCTGTCCCGTGTACTGTTTTGCATTTTAATTATTTACGTTTATAAAGTAGGTACACTACATTTTCTCTTTCAATTACGTGAACAGGCTCACCAAAACACGCATCGATAGCTTAAAAAACACTTGACAAAAGCACTCTATTATACACAACAAGTAATAAGTGCATTAAGAGATTTTGTCAACGGAAGCTTATTCATGTGTACATACGAGCTTTTCGATCGTGTTTGTTACTCCTTTTCTGCCTTTTATTGTGTAAACTTAAATTGCACTTTTACTCTCTTTTATAGCATGCGTAGCACTTCTATCAGCCTATCACATATCGACCTGTTTGCTTTGACAATTTAATTACGTTGGAATTTTATTTAATTAATTTGAATAATGAAAACATTTTAAACAATATATATTCATAAATGCCTCATGGAAAATTATAAAGCTAAAATGCATTCACTCGTTTTGCTCGCAGAATTCTAATATAACTAATTTCGATTTTACTCGAGTAAAGTTGCTCTGGGCAATAAAAGACCAACAATAAAGTTTTGCTATATTTGAAAATTTGCATTTGATCTGTGAAGTCTAGAATTCTAGCGTAGATCGCTGTTTTCAAATTAAATTCAAATTCATTACTTGAACATTAAAACATATCACTGTAAAGTTTTCTACGTTAAAACGGTAGAATTATAGTACAGAGAGTCAAAACCAGGTGGACATGCCGTGTATTCTGTATAAATGACGTCAACGTTTAAACGTTTCAGTTAAAAGTACCCGAAGAATGAGATATGAATAAAATTATTAGTAGTTTAAGTGAACATTTTTAGTAAAATTTTCCAAATAGAAAATGATATTTCATACATCTTCTGATTTCAAAATTTATTCGAATTTTTTGTTTCAACTACATTGCTTTTTGAGAAGGATAATATAGTCAAAACGAGAGCGAAAACAGAAACAAAAACTCTAAAAATATTTTTTTTTGGGAAAGTTTATTAAATTTCGTTAACATGAAGTATTAAAGTGTGTCTTAGAGTTGAATTTTAGCATTTTTAACGATGCCAATGGCGCAGACTGAGATAGAATTTAGGGGGAGTTTACTTACGTAAAAAATATCGAGTATCACAATGAGAGTTGTGTTTTTTTATACTACTTTTTCCACTGGCGATTTTTAAATTATATTTGTTATATTTGACAGTTAAGATTTTTGTTATTTGACTTATGCGGTACCCAAATTGCTTGAAAATAACACAAATTGCATTAATTTCAATGAAATACGTTGATCTACAACAATCTCTCACACTATGCATAGTCAGTGATGATAAAAAGTAGCATAAAATGTTTCTAAAAACAGTATCACAAAGCGCATTTTGTGTAACTGAAAACAGTAGCACAAAATGTTCATTGTGACCATAAAATTGAAAAAAAAGTTTTATGCTTTTTTATGCGCTTTCCCTTACTTTAGCTTTGTTCACATATTTGGGCTTACGCTCTCTCTCTTTTTTATTATGCTTTGCGTTTTTATTTGCTCTTGTGCGCGCTCCTCCCACTCTCGCGTATGCTACTTTACTCTTTCCACTTTTATACGTTTTGTTCACTTATTTGTTCTTATGCTTTGTCTCTTTCTGATTTTGCCTTGCGTTCAAAAATTTTGCCAATAAAATAACATTGAACAAAGTTACAATTTAGAATACAGCTTCCTTGTTTCCTCTTCTAATAGCCTGTAGCAAAAAAAACTTGGAAAATTATTTTTCCAACGGAAATAAATAGTCAAAGTGCAAAATTTAAACTCTCATACTTCGAAATTTTTATAGATAATTTTTTTTAACATTTTTTCTATGATATCTTACCTTATATATTTTTCTCTGGGGCCTGAGTTCTGGCGCACCCTGTATGTAACTAACTGCATATAATTTATTCATTCAAACAATATAAAAATAACAACAAACAGTAATTTAAATAAAATTAGATAGGGTAATTTTAGTCAGAGGGGGGGGGCTAATCTGCCCTCCCGTAATGACGCCCTTGTTCTAAACTTATTATACATGTTGCTAATTTGAATTTGAATTACTGAAAAATTGCTGACTCCGGACCTTCCTGAAAGAAAGCGGGACCTTATGCCGCTGCACCACCATGCTGCCCGATAGTCTCAATGTTTTAAAAATTCAAATTCAATATATTCATACAGACTTTTTACATATAGAACTTTTTCAAAAGAGTATTTTTTGCATTTTTATAATGTTTTGGTATTTTTCTAAGTTTCTTGAACCCCCAAGAGTGCAAATGGTTCAATTTTGAAGTTTTTAATTTCTTCGATTTTTGTCGAAACTTTGGGCGTTTTTCGGTATTCGGAACGGTTTATTGCTAATAATTTCGGAATTATTGACGTTAGTTTTTTGAGTTTGGTACCGTTGGAAAGCAAATTTAATTTTTTATCATATAAAAAAAGATAATTATCCTACGTTAAACAGTTAACGAAAAAATTGCTGATAAATTCAAAAATATCTAATATATTAATTCAACTATAACTTCTAAACGATCAAGAATTTTGTAGTCTCAGCGCCAATCGATTTCTCGGAACATTTCACATATGTAACATTATAACGTTTGAAGTATAATTTTGCCGCAACTAACGAAACAAAAAATGTAAAAAATTGTGAATCTTCTGAAGTTATGACAACATCGAAAATAATTGTATACAAAATTCGAATATTTAATTTGGTTGTTTCTAAAATATAATTTTAGTTTTATTGTCTGACTAAAATTTGATTTTTTTCTGATAATTCTGAAATTGTCATTTCTAACCTGGCCAGGCTGCGATCCGTCCTTCAAGTCGACGATGATTTTGAAGTCGCGGTTATGTAGACTGCAGGTCGCAGCCGATGTTTCGGAAATTCCCGACGATTGACTCGAAACTGAACAAACCGATGATTCTGAAAATGAAAGTTAATTACCTGTCCGCATAAGCGTAGTTACACTACCATCGTCTTCAGGATTGTCACTTGGATCTTCGATCAAGAGAGCGTCAGCTAGGGGTATTTTCCCAATGTCTGGCACTAAATGAAGTTTTCCGCTTGAAGTCCTAAAAGGTCATATTTACTCGCTGTAATGAATGGTGGGAATAAATTAACACCTTGTGGCGATGATGAGGTGATTCGAGAACAAGAAACATTGTCGGACGCATTCCTTTTCGCTTTTGAAGTTTAATTTGCTTCTCGAGCTTCTATGTTTTTCAGAGGGTAGTTGAATAAGACTGCCTTGACGGACGAAAACTTGGCTTACGTCGAGGAGAATATCGCAACCTTCTACTACCATTCTTTCAACGGCTAGATTTTTTCGTAGATTCTCGGTTTCAGACACCTAGAAATTGGGGTTTAGGTGGGGGAGTAATTGAGTGAGTTTGTTACTTCGTCGTGCATTTGCCTGGAAAGGTCTTCTAGTTGTTGACGAGCGTTTTGGAGGCTTTTTCGTTCGACGTGATCGTGGGGAGTGTGGGCTAACAGTTCGTGGAGGGTGATAATGTACCTCGGAACCTGAAATATTTATGCATCGACTTGGTCCGGGAAAATGTAATTAAATTACCTGATGCATAGGATATGTGAGGAAAGTCTCTAAGGATCTGCCATGGCAGGCGGGTTTGCTTTCGAGTCGCTTAAGCATAGCCGAAAATTGCGGTGATTGTTTGCACTCGGTAAGTACTTGAAGGGAGTAGTGATGGTTTCTGACGTACTCTTGATAAATGCTTAACATAGGAAGCAGCATGGAAAATAAATCCCCTAAAACTAAGGTAGGCCAGCTTTCAAGTCTTGATGTTAACCCTTTGAGGAAAATTTGGTGTAAAAATAGCACAGTCTCGCTATTCAGAAAAATCGAGTTGACATCTTCGTGAGAACATGGCGGTTTTTTTGACGATGCAGCCATTTTGAACGGTCGCAAAAAACAAGAAACGAGTACTTCCATCTGCTCCATGTACTCTTCTTCGGCTTCAACCATACGGAATACGAGACTGTTGCGTTTTCTCATACTTTCAGCATGAGGACTTTTGATGTATTGTTCGACGATTTGTTTCCAACGACGACGACAGAGCCATCCGCGGAAAAAGCTTTGAACCTTCTTGATTTTCCTTAATTCGGCTGAATCTTGTTCAATATGAGCAAATGGACCAGACACGGTTGATGTAGAAGTTCCTTGATTTGATGTCAAACTGCTTGTTGATTGGTGAGTTGGAATCGGTTTCCATTCTTTTTTCAAAGCAAACAACTACACCAAAACGATCAAATAATAAAAGCTGAATTTATTCAAACTACCGAAACATAACTTTACACCGATAAGGAACTTCCTGAAAACTCTAAACGGTTTATTTCCCAAAGGATTTACCGCACGATATTATTTGCGAGATAGAATTCGCTGACTTTTGTTTGTTTAAACCTGAACCGTATCATTTTGTAACTCAAATCACTAAAAAATATGATTGTTATGAAACCGAATAAACTAGCAATCTCTTAAATTTCCTCATTGTTTTCGATGAATTTAATCGATAAATTGAACCAAAAACAACTACAAAACAAATTTTACCTCAGCTCGAAGCTTTTTGATTTCAGAAGCCAACTCTTCGCATTGCTGTGTATATTGCCACTTTGCTGTTTTCTCCGATTCGACGATTTGTAACAAATGCAAATGTTTCTGTTCCAGTTCTTCTTTTTGCAACATCAACTTGTTAAAACTAAAATAAAAGTATTTGAATAAAACAACGTAAAATTCTACTTGGCTTATGTTAAAAAATGACAAAAGCTGTCATGACTCTTCTAAATTAAAACTTTGAAAAATTGTAAAGTGTAAACGGAAAATGGTGGATGCGCCGGGCGAACTAATTAAACTGTGCATTTTGAATTCTGCGGTTTGGTTTAAACACAACTAAATTTACGTAATTTGCTATCATTTGCTAAGCTAATTGATGAGCTCTGGCCGAAGCTGTGTGCAAAACGAAATGCGAAATAATATTTGTCGCAAGCGTAAAATTTGAGTTACCTAATTAGATCATTTCAAACAAGAAAGATAAATCGTCGGGATATGTAATTTGTCAGCAAGTGAACTCGTCATTTTACACAGTTAAATACAGTACCTAATTCCATCAGGATGCAATTTTATTACCCGGGGGAAATGAATGGAAAGCTCAATAAAATGCAAAGCGGTGTCAATTAATAATCGTTTTGAATTTCAGCTTGAAATGAAGGGTCACTTCCCGTTATTCCCTACCAATGAACGTTTCCTTCAAGTAGACCTAAACAAATACTCTTTTGACAATTCCATTCAAGTCAAAAACCGTTTTTTAATGAAATTTTCCGACTCCTTGAATAAACGGAACGTGTTTGTGCCGCAAAAAGCTTACTTTTTACGATCAAGACATAAATTTCTAACACGTCAAAAACACATAAACCGATGTCAAGGTGAAAGTTTAAATTCAGCGCAGCTAGGATTTTAAAAAAAAAGTGTAAACGCTTTTAGGTAATTTTTAATCTCTAATCCGCTGCAAATATTTTAAAACTATAGTCGCAAGGCATACTTTTGTTAGTCATTTTTCCAAAGCGATGTCAGCATTAAAAGAGCTTTGTTGGCTTTAAAGTACGTCATCCTGCAGGCGGTTTTTGACATGCGTAAAGGACCAATATTGTTTTAAACTTTTAACAAACAAAAAGACTGAAAATTTTGTATCAGCCAATTAAACTCGAAGATTCAAGCACGTAAAAAACACTGTGCAGTCACACGAAAAATGTTTTAGCAGTCTATTGATTTCAAGCTTTCAACGAAAATGTTTTTTTTTTGATTTTTCATAAAAGATTTAGTAGTTTTTTGTAAATAGGATTTTGCTACAGTCTTGCGACCGCAGGACTTACCTTGCTTCTCGTATAGCTTCAATCCAGTTTTTACACTCCATTTCATTTAAAGCTCTTAGCTCGTACTGGCGAATATTTTCTCTTCTATACGATATAGCGAAACAGTACTGGAACAAATAGAAAACAATTTCAAGAATTAATTGTCTGGATATATCAACACTGATTCGTGTAATTTATTTAGAATGTTATATGGGAGAGAATTTTGTTATTCGCTGCAGTCATCTCTACTAACTTAGATGGAAAAACTTTGTTCAAGCTCAAGCAATATTTCAAGTATTAAAATTTTGGGAGTAGTTTCTGATAAGTTTAAAGTTTTTTTGAAATAAAATCTCATTTAAATGCTTTCCATGTTTTAGGAACTAAGCCCAATTAATCTGTTGTTTTTCAAGCAAATTGAATACTTAATGTCGATTTAATTAATTTTTCAACTGACGTCATTCGATGTCACTAAAGCGAATTCTATGACCATAAACAAACACACGTCGATAATGTCTATAACTCTAACAAGTTTATTTTAACCAACTCATGCAAGAAATTAAAAGCCGATAATGACAACATTATTATTAATTTTGTTAAAATTGAATGGGGCTTTGAATTGCTTCGCAGGCTTTGCACGTATTTAATATTTAGAAGGAGATTTGGCTAAAGTTGCTTTTGAAATTCCTGCAAAGTTTTCTCTAGCCTCAAGGTGATTTTCTGCTGTTTACTATGAAAATGTATTTGAAGTTGACCCAGGCTTTTGCAAAACTCAACTATTCTCCAAAAATCGTTAAACTTCCAACATTATCTTCAAATTTTTTTCCCAAGAAGTTTAATTTTGAATAATAATGCAAATTTTGAAACGTGCAGCGGCATTTAATTATACGAATTTTTCCTGTGAAACACTTTGCAGGTTGTTAATTTAATTAAATGAATTTTAGTTATGATGTAAGCCGCATTATCCCCATAGAAACAATGCATTATTATTGAATAAACAATGTACTTACCATGAAAAGGATTTGCGCAAACTGGCAAATCCTCGATGGGAAATTTAGTTTATTGAATAAATAAAATAGCTTTATAAGGTCTAAAAAAACAGGCAAATGATAAGAAGAGTAGAATAGGACTACCAGGTTATATTATTTTTAGCTCTGTATTGATCCACCCAGCATCCGCATCACGGCATGTAAGCTAAGCTAGGCCGCTGATTACTATTTAATTATGCATCCTATAACAGTGTACTATCAAATAATCAATTGATAATTGCTCATTATGACCGAGTAACAAAGGGCAATAACTTACAGCCGTGGGTTTATTTTGCATTCACGTGCAGCCAATATTGCCAGACACATGGGAATCAGAGGCTTTTCAACTAAAATTTACACGAATTGCACAAATAACAATACCATGAATTTCGGATTTTGAAAAACAAAAACTGTTCCACGATTTTTACACTATTTAAAAAATGATTTTAGGTCTCTTGATTCCTCACTGGACATCAGGTAAATCTCGGTGGAAATAACGGTGGGATCTTTACATTTGTTTCTTCCTCCAGATAACACATAAAAGCACTTAATAATTTAGCAGGTCGGAAAGAAAGTTTCGTTTTTTGCGCCAATAAAGTTGAATCTTTTAAATAACACCTATGCGCTTGTACTGGATCAGATTCATTAAAATAATTCGCACCTTTTTCCCAGCTGGTGTGAACTATGCTTTTATCTCTGGCTTTTGCTTTTTAAATGGCCTTTAACGTCAGATCCAGTGTTGTCTTTCGGTATTTCAGGCATTGCAGATATACGTTTATTGCGTTAATTTAATCAAAGCTTTGATCTATTACATGATTGAATTATAGTTCTCATAGAGACTGGAAAACAGTTTTTTGTTCCCTGTCAGACTCAAAGCGGCATCCTTGATAAAAATGTTTTAATTTTTAATGTGAAGCTATTTTACATGAAATTTCTTTATGTTCGCGTTGTAAAAAGTGAATCCTTTTATATGAACAGCGCGTTTTCCTGCTGCTGACGTCACAGCAGGCTGCTCTCGACGTCAATCTCTAAAGTGTAAATTACTTATTAGTAAATTTTATTTGGGTTGAATAGAAATACTTCATAACTCAATTAATTTTCGTATAATTTCTCAGTATTTCCCTCATCTGCTTATATTTTCCGAACCACCGTAGGCAACTTCCTCATCTTAAATATTATATTCAATTATAGAAACTCGTCACACATCTTAATTAATCTTGAAATTATAAGCATACCCATGTTTTGTTTCCTTACAACAAAGCACTAGTTATCATAGTTTAAATTTAAACTCCAGTTCCCAACTTTAACATCCTATACGTTATTTATTATCGTAGGTAATCTGACCCTAACACTTTCCCTACTCGCATCATGAGGGCTTTTACAACCCTGATAACATAGGCGTGACCACAAGGGCAAGGATGCTTGTAATGTTTGTGTATATGTACAGGGTGTGTCAGAACTCGTGCCCCAGAGAAAAATTTTAAGTAAGCTAGGATACCAAGAACACGGAAAAAATGTTAAAAAAATTCTATCTGTCAAAAAAAATTTACATATATTTTTTGACATTTGACATTTTTTTATGCCTACTTAATGATACTGATGATCTTATATATGTTTTTTATAATTATTTAGTAAAAGTACTAAAACAGAGTTACAATTTAGTATAGAGCTTCTTTATTTCTTCTTCTAATAGCCTGTAGCGAAACAATTTCTAAAATTATTTTTCCAACAGAAATAAATAGTCAAAATGCAAAATTTAAACTTTCATAACTTCGAAATTTTTGTAGCTAGATTTTTTTTTTAATTTTTTATGTTCCTGGTATCTTACCTTACATTTTCTCTGAGGCGCGTGTTCTGGCGAACGCTATATAGTCTATCACATTTATGGCCTAATCTCCTAGGATAACAAGAACGAAACACCGAAAAAATCAAAGCAATTTTCCAGCCATTACTCGGGATTAATTAAATGAATGTCGCGATTTTTCGACTTTGTCGAACATATCCGATTTTTGGTTAAATTTAATTACTGACGTGCTTGTAACTAAGAGCCCACGACCTGTTTCTATGGCAAGGGAATCTAATTTAGGACATTTGTTACACAAATAAAACAAATAATTTGTCAAAACAATAGAAAGAAGCTTTTAGAAAATATTAAGAAATGTACACCTGGCCTGTAATAAATAAATAATTAGATCGTATACTAGGCGACTATAATCAATACCGGCAGTGAAAGGATTAGCCCGATTCTTATCGAAATGTAACAAATAAAGAGCTTTTATTTTGAGAGCTTCCTAGCTTGCTCATGTAAACAGGAAGCAGAACTATGTTAACTGAGTACTCGTTTGATTAATTAACAGAATGAATAACATGATATTATTCCGATCCATTGAATTTACCCCACAAGTTTAAATCCCGACGTACTGAAAACATTCCGACATTTACTCGGCGACAAAATAAGCTTTTTCACAAAGGAAACTAAAATTATTCGCAACACTACAGAAATTTAATCCTCACAAAGTTCATGTTTTACAAAGGATGATCAGACTGGGAAAATTCAAAACGAGTGTAATTTTCATCAATAAAATTTAAATAGTAACCAACAATTACCAACAAAGAGATTTTTAATCAAAAAATAATAAAATTTAAATAGTAACCATCAATTAACAACAAACAGTCTTTTAATCAAAAAATTACATGTTAATTAGAGGTTGTAATACAGTATTTCCGGAAATATAAACATCCCGTAGCAACTAACTTTAAATATTGTTTCTGAAACACAGCAACATTAAGGTAAATACAGTTAACAATACGTTCTGTAAATATTTACATAATAATGCCTTATTGACTTTGTTTAAATAAATGAGACATTTTTAAATGTATGAAATTTTTTAATTCAATTAAATTCGAATTATGTTGGGTGTTATGAATTCGCAACTTCATTCCTCAAGCAGATAGAATGCTATTCATGACAACACTGTCATGCAAAAATGAAATTAAAGATAACACGTGAAATTAAACATTACTTTTATGACTCAAGAGATGAATATTTAAAATCATGTATAAGCAAACAGTGATTTAAAAAATGTAATTTTTAACGTAACATTTGGTGCTTTAACTTTTTTTTGGAAAAGTTCACAGTTGAATATTTTAAGGCCATGAATAATTCATAGGGTTCGTAACTGAAGCCTTCGATTTTAAATTCCTATTAGCACGTATCTATTATTAAACTTTACGCGAGGAAAACTTATTTCCAAAATGAATAATTAGTCATGAAGTGTTTACAGAAGAAACGAGAAACGATGTCAATTAACAAGAAAGTAATTGACGGAATAGAAAAAGAACAGGTTTGTGTAATTTCCTTAATCGAGTTAAAAAATCAATCAGCCATTGAATTAGGTCTAGATCCAAGGTATTGTCGAAAAAAATAGCGGCATAACATGAATATGTCGAGAGGAATAAAAGATATTCTGTAATTATTTCAAGTTAATGTCGGTTCTTTATACCCTAAATGTCACGCGAAATACACACACGCATTTCTCTTTAAAGCTATTAGAATTTACTTAATGTATCATTTAATAATGCGATGTTGGAACTATATTCAAAATTAGGGAAACTAATCTTTGATACTAATTTGTTATGCAGATAACATATAAATAAATTCATTTTAGTGGTTATAACACTGGCAACACTGTCGTTGCTTGTTAAAGCTAGAGGGAGTAATTATCCTCAACTTTGATCATAACTCGTTTACCAAAATATTCATTTGACACGGATTGACCCTCATATCTGTTCAAACCCTTGAGCGCCGTGACATATGTTTTAACAACGTGAAAATGTATTTAGATAATGAATTTTAGATTAAAAAAATCAATACTAATCGTAGATTCTTCTCCATAATGTTATCGCTTTATTGATTTACCAGAAATAGGAGGTTCAAGGCTGGACACCATAATTGTTCAAAAATTCTAGGCCAATTGATGGTTTAGACCCTCTTTGTACAACACCAATGTTTATCATAAAGGTAGAAGATAATCCTGGCTCTAATCCCATAAATTGTATCAAATTTTCACCCCTTGAGGTGATTACTTGTTAGAACTTAATTA